TGTGTGTGTGTGTGTGTGTGTGTGTGGCCAGCTCAGCCCACCAGGGGGCGGGGCTGGCTGGCATGTGGTGCTGGGGGATTGAACCGTGGTCCCTGGGCTTTGCTAAGCTTGTTCTAAGTAGGTGCTTTAGACCACTGAGCCATCTCACCAGCCCATCATAGGTAATTTGTACCTGTGCATGACATATCTTTTTTTCTGTTCCCCATGCCTGGGGTCGTGGAGATGGCTCAGTGGAATAAGCGTTGCCCTGGCAAGTATCAAGGGCCTGAGTTCAATATTTGGTTCCGCAAACAAACAAACCATTGTAAGAAAGGGGCCTGGGGAGATAGCTCAATAGAGTAAGAACTTGTATGGCAAGCACAAGGTCCTGAGTTCAATCCCCGGTACTGCAAACTTTTTTTTTTTTTTTTTGCTTTACGTGTGTTCTTTTCCCCTTCCTTGCTCCCTTCTAGTTTAAACATTTTCCTCCCATTTTCCAGTATCTATTATACGTTTTAGTCCTTATTTGTATTTTCATTTTCTCAGACCAGAAAAACAATGCGGTATTTAAACGTGTGTGCCCGGTTTATTTCACTTAGGGTACAGTCTCAAGGTGCACCCATTTAGAAACGTCTAAAACATCGAGAAAAGGATCTTTTACACCCCCAAGAATCATAGATTTGAGCGACTCCTGGAAAAGGCGATAGAAGAGGCAGCGCTCAACTATCCAGGTCCCCTCTGCGCTACGAGACCTCCGAGAACTCGATGGTCCCAGCTTCCGCTCCGGGTGAGGGAGCCGCCTACTTCCGGCATCCCAGGCCCGCCCCGACGCCAGTGGTGACGGAAGCACGTCGGGGGTGACCTCACCCTCCAACATGGCGGCGGCGGTAGATTAGGCCCGCGGGTCGAAGCAGCCACTGCCGCTGGGGTCCCCTTTCAGAAGCAACTGCTGCCGCCGCCGCTTGTTCCATCTCTTTTGGGGTAGGCGCCAGGGCCGGGTGAGGGGAGTGGGGTTCCGGGCTAATGGAGCTGAGAAGGCGGTTTTCACCTGGGGAAGAAGGTGTCCAGAGCCTTCCCAGTCACCACAGTGGTGCGACGAAGCGTGAGTGCGAGACTGCGAGTGAGTGCGTGAATGTGTGTGTGTGTCAGTGTCCCCCGGCGTCCCCGCGCCCGGGGGTTCCATTCCTTGGTCGCCGCACCCGGTCGGCGCGCTCCCGTTGCGGGCGCTTCTCCCGTTGCGGGCTGCCTGTGGCGGCGGAGCTCGGCCTTTGCTCCAAATGGCTCTGCCGCGACAAGCAGCGTCACGGAGAAAACCTGGGCGCCTGTTTAGGCTTAGGCGGGGGAGCGCGGACTTGTTTTTGGTTGAGGCCAGGGCTTGCCCGACTTTCACTGAGAACGACTGTACGTTTTCCCAGCGCTAGTCTTCCCAGACATCTCGAGTGTTCTGACGAACGCGGTGTTTCAGCAAAGCCTGCCTTTGCACCCTTGGAGGTGATGCACAGTGCACGCTGTGGTTATTTCCTTCTTAGCCGTGTTCTCCCAGCATTCTAAGGAGGCCCCAAGTTTCTTGCCTTCCGACCTCGCTTTTTTAGTTGATGCTGTTTGTTGGTAGCTTTGTCCAGCTCTTAATCGCTCTCCACACGTGTTTATCCGAAATAGCTTTCTCACTGTTTACGTTCAGAAGTTTGACCTAAGCTGCCAGTCCCCTCTCCCCTTTTTTGCTTTCTGTTGTAAAACAGAGCCAAATCAATTGTTTTGCGAAATTGCCCGGCAGAGTTCCCCTGGAGGTTTGTTGTGACCGGAGCGTTGCTCTCTGCCCAGACTTGTTGTGTGACCTTGGACGGGTTGCCACACCCTTCATCCCCGCCCCCCTTTAAACGCCTTAGAAAAATAGCTTGTAAAAAGCCAGGCTTGGTCCCGCATGCCTGTAATCCCCGAATTTGGGAGGCTGAGGCAGGAGGATAGTTGCGAGTTCCAGACCAGCCTGGGCTACAAAGTGAGCATAGCACGACCCTGTCTCAAAAAAGAAAGAAGCTCCTATAGGTAACAAAGTGCTTATACTTGGTATGCACAGTTGGGTGATAAACTTGGTACATTTCTACCTGTAAATAAAAAATATTCAAACTGGGGTTCGATCCCTGGTGTGCCCTGCTGGCCCTGCCCCCGGAGAGCTCGCGGAGACTAGGACTGAGACTGGGCATGATGGTGCACGCCTTTAATCCCAGCACTTGAGCTGAAAACAGGAGGATCCCTACAAATCCAATCAGTGTAGTGAGACCCCCATAGACCCTGTACTAAATACATTAATTTTTTTTAAATTGAAAATTTTCAAATATTTAGAAATATTTATTTTGAAGTAGACAAGGATTTTGAACACCCTCTCACTGTGAATGAACAAATACAATTAAGCATTTTTCCAAGTGGTTCATATGCTTAGGTGGAGGAATATGCCCCAGTAATTGAATTCAACTAAAGGATGTATAAATTGAACTCACTGCGTAGTGCAGGCTGGCCTGGAATGTCCGACCATCCTGCCTCAGCCTCCCAGTGCTGGGATTATAGGCATGTACCACTACACCCAGCTCCAGGATGTGCAAGTTTGAGTGCAACAGTTTTGTAAAGGAAAAAGTGCTAACACATCATTAAATCAGTATTTATAGAATAGACACATTAAGCTTTTTTTTTTTTTGGTGGAACCGGGGATTGAACTCAGGCCCTTGTACTTGTCAGGGAAGAGCTTATTTTACTGAGCCATCTCCCTGGCCCCACATTAAGCTTTTAGGATTGGTACTCTGGCAAGAGAATAATAGTTTAAAAAATTTTTTTAAAGTATTTTTTCTTATAGCCAGGTGTAGGGGTATAGGTTTGTAATCCCTGTACTCAATTGCAGTGAATTAGAGGTCAGCCTGGCTAGTGAGACCCTGTCTCAAAAAATAGAACAGCAAATACACATATATATTTTTTCTTATGAAGTAATTTAGACAAAGCCAGCCAAATAGCTCAGTGGATTAAAGCACCTACAGGCAGGTGCAGGTGCAGGGGCCGGGGATTCAGTCCTCGGCCCTGCCATGCTGGCTCTGCCCTCAGGGCCTGCTGTGATGGCAGTTGAGACTGGGCATCGTGGCCCATGCCTGTAATCTCAGCTCTTGGGCCGTAAACAGGTGGATCACTACTAGTCAGATCTGAATGCGATCTAATAGTAAGACCCTGAACACCCTGTAGACCCTTTCCTAAAATACAAAATAAAAAAAAAAAAGAAAGAATTTAGACAATTTTTGTTAGTGGTTCTGGAGATCAAACTCAGGGTTTGGTTTATGTTAGGAATATGCTCTACCACTGAGATACATTCTTAGCCCTAGATTTAGAGAGTAACACAGTGTATTTCTATTCTGCTTTTTGATTTTTCGGACATTATTTTGATTTATATCATCTCAAGTATGTGAAACAAGAATTCTTAATTATATATGAGTTGGAGGAAGAGAGCTGTTTTTAGAGTGGTTGGGTTTTGGGGTGGGTCTGCTCTACAGAGCCCACATTGAAGGATAATCCTAGCCCCTTCTGTTTTTTTTTTTTTTTTTTTGTCATGCTGGGAATAAAACCCAGGGTCCCACTTTCTGAGCTCTGCTGCCAAGCTGTACCCTCAGCCCAAGTGTTGATTTTTGTAAATGCCTTTATTGAGAGAATTAGCATAGCATATAGTTCATGGTTGTATAATTTAATGGTTTTCAGTATATCTATAGAGCTATTAGGCAGCCATCACCACACTTCATCACCCCAGAAAGAAACTCCTCTGCCGTCCACCCTATCCGTGGTCCTGGAGATTGACTCAGCTACATCTTCAGCCTTTTTTCTTTCTCTTGTTTGAGACAGGTTCTTGCTGTATAGTTCAGGTTGGTCTTGAACTCACTGTGTGGCCCAGGTTGGCCTCAAGTTTGCAGCAGTATTCCTACCTCAGCCTCCCAAGTGCTGGGATAATAGGTGTGTGCCATCATGCCTAGATTGACTGCTTGATTCTTTTTTTTTTTTTTTTGGCGGAACCGGGGATTGAACTCAGATCCTTGCGTTTGCCAGTCAGGTGCTTATCCTACTGAGCCATCTCCCCGGCCCAACTGATTGATTTTTTTTTTATTCATTTATTTTTTTATGTGTGTGTGTGTGTGTGTGTGTGTGGCCAGCTCAGCCCACCAGGGGGCGGGGCTGGCTGGCATGTGGTGCTGGGGGATTGGACCGCTGTCCCTGTGCTCTGCCAAGCTTGTTCTAAGTAGGTGCTTTAGGCCACTGAGCCATCTCGCCAGCCCGATTGATTCCTATTTTATATATTTAGTATAAGGTCTGCAGGGTCTCACTACACAGATAGGACTTGTAGTGATCCTTTCTGTTTTTCAGCCTCCCAAGTGGTGGGATTACAGATGGTGCCACCATGCTCAGCCTCAGTCCCTGGCCCCTGCATCTGCGTAAGCAGGCGCTTTAATCTGCTGAGCTATCTGGCCGGCCCTATTTATTGTCTTTTTGAGGCAGGGACTCACTATGCATCTCAGGCTGGCATTGAGTCCCTCTAGCCTGGTTCTACCTTTTGACTGTTATATATAATGCTGCTTTGAGCATTCTGTGCATGTTTTTTTTTTTTTTTTTTTTCCCCTCGGAACCGGGGATTGAACTCAGATCCTTGCATTTGCCAGTCAAGCGCTTATCCTACTGAGCCATCTCCCCGGCCCTTCTGTACATGTTTTTGTGTAGACAGATGTTTTCATTTCTTTGGTGTATACCTACCTATACATGGAATAGTGAATGTAATGAATTTTATGTCTTCGTTTATAAAGCTGTGTACATAGACATAGGAAGCTTAAGTACTTATTGTGGAAGAGTGTCTGTGGGAAGGCAGGTTAAGGAGTTCCTGTGAAGGAGCTGTCTGAATGCCAGCTGCCGGGTGAAGTTTTTGGAGAAGCTCTTAACACAAGATTGAACTCGAGTATATTGCTTTGGCGTGTTTTATTTGGAAAGGGATTTTCAACACCCAACACTAGAATAGTAGTGTCTGCTGGAACACGTCACTCAGTTACAATTCAGCTGAGTAGGATGAATTTTGGCAGTTTGAGGTTTTTGTTTTTGTTTTTTTTTGTGATACTAGAGATTGAACCCTAAAACTATATATATATGTATTTTTTTTCTTTAAATGATCTAGGGTCTTACTATAGCACAGGCTCGCCTTAAAGTGTCAATTTCCCTGTCTTAGCCTGTCATATGCTAGGATTAAAGGTGTGTGGTGTGTACATCTGTCTACCTTTTATTTTCTTTCTTTTTTTCTTTTTAAGTTTCTTTTCTTTTTTTTTTTTTTAAGTTTCTTATTTTGGGGACATGGTCTCACTACATTGCTAGATTTCCCCAGTTGGGGTTGAATTTGTGATCCTCGTGCCTCAGCCTCCCATGTGGCTAAGATTACAGGTGCACATCATCACACCTGGCAATTTCATAATTATTAGGATTGTTTTGCTTCTTTTGAAGAAACATCTAGAATTCAGTGATTAATAAGGCATGGAGTATGAATTACTGTTGTGTAGGGTTGAGGAGGTTATTCAGTTATACAGGACTTGCCTCACATGCACAAGGCCCATGGCGACTGTCATGATTAAAACTAAAGCCAATCAGTGGTCTAAAGCACCTACTTAGAACAAGCTTAGCAAAGCCCAGGGACCACGGTTCAATCCCCCAGCACCACATGCCAGCCAGCCCCGCCCCCTGGTGGGCTGAGCTGGCCACACACACACACACACACACACACACACACAAATAAATAAAATTAAAAAAAAAACAACAAAAACTAAAGCCAAGAAACTTTAATATTTTAAAAATTACAAACCATTGTTTTGTGACTACTTTTCATATTTCAGCTGGAATTGTAGATATGTTCAACTCTTATTTCTACAGTATGTAAATTCCTATTATGTTCTGATTTTATTTTAGTAGAAAGAAATGGTCTAAAA